AAAAATAGTAGTAAGGAAAGTAAGCAAAGAAATTCAACTTTCCTCTACTTTTTTATGATTTATGGCATTATTACTGTTACTAAACAGAAAAAAAAGAGTTCTTTGTACTTCTAGCCATGATTATGCTGTTTCCACAGAGCTGCATGACTTTTGATAGCAGTGAAACATGAGCCCACAGTGAGTGCAAATGTGGGAAGAACATAAAACACATAGATACTGCTTGGGGTTCAGAGAGTTAATTTAATTTAACCTCCCAAAAAGATAGAACTCTTCAGGTTGTAATAGTTTAAAACTTGAATAAATACCTGTGGGAAAATTAGGTGCTAGACAACAATAGAAATTTGTAGTCCGAGCATGAAAAATATTGTAGGATTTGATGCTTGGACCCTTTGGTTTACTTGCTGCAAGCAGCAATGTGCAGTTCAATAGAGTCCAAATGGGTGTCTAAGGCAGTAGCTTGTCTGCACCACTTTGTGGAGATGTGCCAGGCTTTCCTGACTGTTAATGCACCTCAGTATGAAATTGTGTATTTGATAATGGGGTTATGTGTGCGCAGTGTTGGGCAGCAGTGTTATGACAAGTAGCAGCTTTACTAGTTTAACTAGATTTCTCGGCTGTGTGGTGGTTTTCTGAATCAAAAAGCTTTTCAGTAGCAAAGCTTTTTTTTTATTGCTGGAGTAGTGCGGCAGCGTCCACACAAGCTGCATTCTCCTCAGCATTTCTAAGCAACAAACACAACAGAACTTTTAATGTGGTCTGAAATAAAACTTAGGCTCAGTAAGTGATGCCAGCACTATACACAGACGTGTATGCGCACCAGACAGAGTAACTTCAGTATGACGGTGATATTGTGTACAATCCAGTCTGCCAGCACCAGCTAGCAGCCTGTCAACAGCTTACTGCTAGTTAGTTCTATGTTTTTCATTTTCTATAGGCAGGAAATGAGTAAGAGTAAGGTACAGTGAATAAATAAAAATACTCAAACTAGATAAAGTGACTTCTACTTTTTCCTTGTTGGTGTAGCTTCGCCTGCTGCATTTCTCTGGGGGCAGTGTAGTGAATCTTCATTTAATTTAGAGTAACTGCAAGCGTCCCTCACTACACTTTCCTAGTAGCTTGCCTCACACTGTCTGTGTGTGTGTGTGTGTGTGTGCGTGTGCGTGTGTGTGTGTGTATGCATGTGTGTTCATTCATCAGGCCCGGGCCATTACAATCCCAATGTGAAATCCCTCCCAAAGATGGCTTTGATCTCTTCCAGAGTGGATCGATTCAAAGTCTCCATGAACACCAACCCTGGCCCTGGCACTCACCAGGTAAATGCTGTTACAATAACTTCTCAGTCTCGTAAAACATTTTTACTTCTTACCGCACTCCCATTTTACATTACTCTAATATTCCGTTTAAGAAAGCGGGCTGGCATAAGTGTGCTTACAGCATCTGTATCCTTGGACTTCGGTGTTTATAATTTGGAATTAGGGTGTGCTGAGATGTGAGTATGTGTAAACAGACCTTGCTTTTAGTGTTTGTGTGTCCGGTGTGTGCATGCGATGCAATACACTGTATGTCTGATATTGCTTATGTTGTAATCCTCTGAGAATCTATCATATTTCTGTCTGTGACCTTGAGCTGTGCAGAAGAAATTGATTGCTTCGTACAAAAAAAAAAAAGAAAAAAAGGAAAAATCCAAACTTCAATATGTTTCTGTGGTTTTGACCAATCTCCACCAATGCAACACGAGGGCTGAACGATGCAGTTTTCTGCCCAGGGCAGCTTTTCATTTCGTGTGAGAAAGTGTTCTTAATTGACCTGCCTGGTTAAATTAAACGGAGAAAAGTGGCTGCATTTTATTAAGTGTAATGTTGTTTAATGCAGCCACCGCAGAATGCAGACAGAGACAAATGCACTTTATGTTTGAAGCGTAATATAGCTGTAATGAAACCTAACCAGAGCCTAATCTGTTCCTGCTTTATTTCAGTGTGTTTTATTAGGAATTACAACTTTTGGTTTCAGCTGCTGGTGAATATGTGTTCGTGTGTGTGTGTGCGGTGATTGAAGGAGCTAATGCTGCTTCCAGTCCCTGCTGACTTTGACTGGTGAACATCAAAGACAAAACCACCGAGTTTGATTCGAACCTCGCTACACAGTTCATCGTCATGTTCACGTCCATGGGTGTAATGTTATCACAGAGCTCTTTCTTCTCTTTCTCTCTGTCTGCCTGTCTCCCAGTCTGCCTGCTGTCTCAGTGTAGATTTATCTCTTAACTTTCCACTGTCTCTACAGTTCACTGTGTCTGTCTATGCCCCTCCTCTCTCATTCTCACAAAAAAAATCCTTTGGTTATATAGCAATGTGTGGTTTGATTGTCACAGCCAATTTGGTTCAATTATACAGTGTGTGGCGCTGTCCTGGATTCTCCTCTGATCCATTTGTGCTTGTCATACCCATGAAGATTATTTAAAACATGTTTAATTTTTATGATGGGATTTGTGACCTTTAAAATAGTGGGGGGAAATTTGATAGGAAATGGTTATACGGTTAGATTTTGCTGAAAAGCCTTTGCTCTTTAAAGGGCCTCTCAAGGAACATGAAGAGGAAACTGAACCAGCCTCAAAAAACAGATAAACACTGAATTTTAGTTGACTCAGCACTATCAAAATCACAGTATGAAAACAGGAGAATTGTCAGCTTAAAGCAATACAGTTAGGCCTTCCCAGCAGCCAAACAGCTACTTAATGAAGCTACCAATGCTAAACTTTAAAGTAACCTATGGAGTTTTATACCTTTAGCTCTGGAGCTGATTTTCCTTGAGTGGGTTCCTGTTTTGATTGTGTTATTCACATACACCTGATGTGAATGCAAATCCATAAGGCATAGAGCTGATGTAATACACCTTCCTGCCAGTGGTGTCACACTATTCCAGTGATCTGTAGGTGGTAGTAATGTGGCAGGAACTGCAGCAATGTACTTTAAACATGTCCTATAGCTGCCCTCACAAAGCACACACTTACTACTTACTATTAATAATGTGCCATAGCCTCGACTGTCTCAGTCTGTAGTGTGAATCGAGCTGTTATGCGGCGCTCTCGGTGGCTCATGCTTGTTTATACTCATGTGCGATACTGCGACGTAGGTGGTGTAACTGCGCAGAGGACCGTGGGTGAGAATGGCCAGAGAACCATGCTGGCTTACATATTTAAACTCCGACTGGATGTAATAGGACGTCCTGGTATTTTTGGCATACTGCATTTAGCGTAATATGTATCAGGACCTACTAAATTGTTTTTCTGGCATACTATATAATATGGATGTATGGATCTACAGCCTAAGACCTGAGCACTAAACCCTGAGTTAGCGAGGACTCGTGATGCTATAAAAAGGTGGTTTAGGTTTTTGATGAGCTGCTCAGTAGATCACTGCCTGTTTGTGACATTACAGTGTTTATTCATTTATTTTCATGAACATCTCTTAATTCTGTGTAGATTTTTAGCTGAAAGTACAAACAACTCTGCAAATAGGCAACAAATGACCACAACAGGGAGCAGCCAGATTTTCTTATATGCACTTAAACATGTTTGTAGATGGGGATTAGGCTATGGATAACAATGCAAGTTTCAAACTTTGAAAAGAATCTGCTTTGCACATGCTTTGTGACACGGAAATGCATTTTTCATTTGAGGTTTGTTAGACCTCAATGATACCTGTAATGGCAATTTCAGCGAACCCCTTTAGTCTGCTGCTCGACCACTACTGAAGGCTGGGTCGGATTTAGTCTTGACACATGCAGATGAATGATGATGAGTAGAAGTGGATCCACTCGGTCCCACTGACTATTTACTACATTTATTATTTGTTAAATTACAAGTCAAAATAAAAATAAAAACACTTTAAATTAAAGAGTCTTTAAAGAGACCAAGTTTATTGATGCAGCCACATGGTCAGAAAACTGTTTGCCTTCCTCAGCCACACCTGATGCTGTGGCAGCTCGTTCTTCAGCCTTCTCCCGTGGGCTCCATCTTCAACTTCCTCAGTCAGGTGGAGCCAGACTGTCCGGCCTCCTCTCGGTGGAGTTAAACACGCCCATGGCTGCTCACACATGCACATGCACTCTCTCCCTCTCCCACTCACATCCACACACCAACAACAAAGAACATATCAACACAAAGCTCAATTTGGCTCCTACAATACCCAAAATGCATTTGATGAGTAATATTGAATGTAAACTTACCTTATGTTTGTTTATTAGAAACCTCCACAGGGCTCCTTGAGTATGGCCAGACCTAACACTGTGTTTCTTCCACTCAATCAGTTGTCAGTATCGAGCCACAGATCACTGGAAGCTTAGCGCCCCTTAATCTACCACATCTGTCTGCAGCATCTGTAGTCCACGTTTCAGTATAATCTAGCGTTTTCCTCATTTGTACAAATTGCATCATAACTTATCAAGGTGTCCATTTTTATGACCATTTGGTACCAGTACACATGAGAATTCATGTTCTCTGAGGATTTCATTCATTTGAATGTGACTGAATGTTGCCAGTTAACGTTGTAGGTTTGGTGCAGTAACATGACAGAACTGGATTTTGTGGGTTAAATATAATTTGCTTGGGGTTACTAAGCAAAGCTGCTATAATCACAGGCTCCTGTACATGTCTACTCTTTGAAGATTTCAATCATCTTAACGTTAATTAGCATGTCTCAGTGTGTAAGTGCGGGAGTGTGTGCCACTTTGCAAAACCTCAGTAATGTAGGCAGAAGGCAGTGCATATGTTTTCCACATACAGCACTGTGAAAAAGTGTTCTACAGATTACCATGAGTATTTTTTCATTATCCTCTCCTCTCCTCTGCTCTCCTCCTCTCCCCTGGGAAGTAGGAAGGCAAAAAAAAAAAAAAATCAACTAAAGCATTAGATTTCAAGTAAAAGGCTCCATTTGGACTCATCAAGTGTATGTGTGTCTGCCGCCACTTTAGTCATCCCAGAGAGCATTAATGTTGGCACGTAATTGGCTCAAAGTTAAAATGGGTTGGTTTCACTAAACTTTGTGGCAGCGTCGACACATGATTTTCAACAGCAGCTTCATTTGTGGAATAAAGCTCATAATGCCACCTACTGTTGAATTGAATTGCAGACCAGTATAATGCTCCACGGCATTCTGCACACCAGTCCTACCTTTGTGTGGGATCCATCTATGTGCTCCTCTTGTCCAGTCTGACAACATGCACCTAAAGTGAACTGGAAATTGTTTGTATTTGCTAATGAATGAATGCTGCAATGTTTCGACCTTTTGTTAGACTGGTTCCCAGTCCAATGTGATGAATAGAACCTTGAGGAGGCTCCATATTCTGACATTAATGCCTGCTTTGAGAAACATACGACGGGTCATTTAATCTTAAATCATCACATTTTTAGAAAAATTTCTGTTGACCATTTAAAGTATAAAATATGGATATTTATACAGATATGAGTAAATTTTTAGCTTGATTTATCGAATGCTTCACAACACTTTTTTTTTTAAATGAAATTTTGTTTTTTCACACATTGAAATATCGCAAGAACTCTATAAGATAAAAGTCTGAGATTTTCTCTGTTATTTCTCAGTGAGCCATTAATAATCTAAATTATTGGACAAGTAGAGCAAATACTCCATGATTATGGGTGAGTTGAAATGTAAAAAACAACCAAACCAAACTGTAGTCGCCATGAAAAGTCCCATCTTTAGGCACACATTAACAAAACAATGTATAATGCACAAGTCAACTGGGGATATTTTCTGAACCATATGTTGTCATCTGTCACAATAAAACAACACCTATAGAATAGTTTCTAATATGGAATACTGAATCACAAAGAAGTAATCCAAGCAGAAAAGAGTTATAGAATTTCAAAGTAGTTCTCGAAATATATCTAAGAACATTGTTTTTTTCCTTTCTTTTTAATAAGGGCATATTTTTATTGTCAGACCCATTGTGTGGGCTGAAGAAGCAGCGCCTTGCTTATTATGCTTTTTAAATTAATATATTTATTGGAAGAAATGCTTGAAGGTCAAATTTTCAGCAGCTACTATAAATGTACATGTATTTACAGTTCAACTTCCTGCACATATAGTTCAACTTATGACACTGGTCTTAAAGTTTTTCCCAGTTGAACACAGAGCAAGTAAATCAGTTTTGATTCTATCGAGGCCCTGATGATTACAACAAAACAACCCTTGAATGTTGCAACCCCCCAAAATATAATCTGAGCTAACGAAGGTTCTTAAACTACAAATAGCAGCCGAGATGTCTAATTTACTATTAAAGGGATAGTCCAGAACTC